GGTGTGCTTTGAAAACTCAGCAGAGTCACTAGGTCAGCTTATAAGCAAAACACATCAAAATCTTCAGCATCAGTCTAGCCGGTTCCTCATATCCTTTTGGGCTTCTGTTAGTTTCTGGATTAGATATCGCTTGTCACGACTTTCCTAAAAAAGGAAATGAGTTGGAAAAAACATTCACTATACTTAGACGTCAACAGCATTATTTTTCACCTAGTAAATTACCTATTACATTTGGGGCTAAAGATTCTAACTCCTGGACTTTGTTATTTTAAGGGTCCAAACTGGTTTGCCTCTTTTGTCCTTGTTCTCCACAATTCCTCTCCACACAACAACTTATGATCTTTTGAAAATACACACCAAGACTGGGAGAAAATATGTGAGAATGATATATTTGATAAGGTTTTAATATCCAAAAGAAACCTCCTACAACTCAACAACAAACAATTCACTTTAAACTTGGGCAAAGGGCTTGAATTGACATTTCACCAAAGAAGATATATAAATGGTCAATAAGATGTTCAACTATTGGTTATTTGGAAAATATAAATCAAAACCACAATTGAGACACTTTACTCTCACTAGGATGGCTATGGTCAGAAAAATGGAAAATAACAACTGTTGGCAATTATGTAGAAAAACAGAAACTCTTGTCCATTGCTGGTAGGATTTTAAAATGGTGCACCCACTATGGCAAACAGCATGGTGGTTCCTCTGAAAGTTAAACACAGAATTACCAACGATCCAGCAATTTCACTCCTAGGTGGCTACCTGAAAGAACTGAAAGCAGGAACAGAGATGGTTGTACACCAGTGTTCACTGCAGCACTATTCACAATAGCCAAAAGGTGGAAACAACCCAAGTGTCTATCAAGAAATGACTAGATAAGTAAAATGTGGTATATACATGCAATGGAATACTATCCAGCCATAACAGGAAATGAAGTCCTGATCCATGCTAGAACATGGGTGAACCTTGGCAACATCATGCTGAGTGAAATAAGTCACTCATAAAAGAACAAATACAGCACGACTGCATTCATATACAATATCTCGAAAGGCAAATGCATAGAGACCAAAGTTCATTAGTGGTTACCTGGGCTGGGTGGGAGGGGAAAAGGGACGTATTGTTCACAGGGCATGGAGTTTCTGTTAAGGGTGATGAGAAACTTTGGCAACGGAAAGTGGTGATGGTTGCACAACAAGGTGAATGGAATTAATGCCATTCAATTGTACATAAAAAATGATTGAAACAGCAAATTTTTGAAATATTTCA